GGCCAATTTATATTTGGTTATTACCCACCCTGTATGGTACTACTCAATCTTCGGAGACAGCTTTTAAAATTTTGTCGACCCCCCCCCCCCAACGAGTCAATACCGACACTTTTGGTATCCCTTCTCTAGACTCATGTTCTTAAGCATAACCAAGTTTCTATCTTTTTGGTTTAAGGACAGAAAATGTTTAAATCTTAAATATAAATTCGGTCAACCCCAATTCCACTAAATTGTTTCTTGATTGAAAGGTCGCGCTGGTATATTGCATTAACTTAATTTCAAATTAGTAAATGTATTGTAGTGATTAGAGAAATGCTGCTGAAAGAGAATAGACAAATAAGGAGGTGAAAAGTGCCCACAAAACAAATCTATACTTGCGATACTCATATGAAAGAGAATAAAAAATGCCATAGATTACCAAAAAATCGGCTTCCTAAGGCAATCTGTTGCAGAAATACCATGAGAAAATTATTTTTCACATTTTATTTTTTTCTCAGCTTCTATTGCATGCATCAGGCTGAAAATAAATATCCGAGTCCGAGAAAAATAGCTGAAATGTAATGTGTTTTGTCCACCAATTTTGACGCCAGATTCAAGGGAATACACATTCTAACCGAGACAAATTATTGGGAAAAAACTGAGACACTACTCCAACGTTATCGCGTCAAAAATCAATATCAAAAACTTCTTTTTGTTTGAATTTGGCACCAAAACTTGTTGACTAAATACCTTCAAATTCAACTATTGTTCCCCGACTCCTGATACATGCAGTAGAAGATGAGGAAAGAAAAGTGGAAAAATACGTTTCTCATTGTACCTTTGCATCAGATTATCCTAGAAAATAGATTTTTGGGGGAATCTACGGTATTTTGTATTCTCTTTCATATGAGTATCGCGATTATCGATTTGGTTTGGAAACAGTATTCACCTTGTTATACCATTTGACGGTCGCCTAAGTTGGACCACAGAAATATTTCTTTCCATACGAGCATTTGAATCGCACAAATTGGCTCTAATGGTTATGGACTCTTAAAGACAGTTTTCAGTAAATTCATTTTAATTGACAGGATTTTTTGTAACAGTGTTTTCGCCGAGAGACTTATTATTTTTGTGCTCTACCCTCGTATATTAAGCCTTTGTGTGCACATGGAAAAAGCACACGAAGACACACTAATGTGCTACACGTCATAACAATTCCGTAATAACAGTGATGCTGACGTTGAAGTAGTTGAACAGCATTACATGTATGTTATATCAAATCGAGTTGCCTTTTAACCACCGAAAGTTGTCTGAATTGGACCTGGCATCTTAGGAGGCTAAAAAGCTCTTAGGCACTGCCTTTCTCGTCGGCAGAAAGAAATGTGCTTAGTGAAGTCGTCGCAAATGTTCATCTAGAACCGATAAAAATTCCGTTACTTGCACGAACGTGAATTAAAATATGTTACTTATGTTTTTAAAAGTTGTAAGCCACATATATCTACAAAAACTAATAGTAAACAAATCGTGTAAGAATGACGAATATGGAAAACATTCTAGCTCGAATATCTTGGCTTACATTTAAAAAAAGTAAAATCAAACAGTGTTACATAATTTTACACAGATTTATGTTCATTCTGTACCAAAACATTCGGAGGCACTAATGTTAATAATTAGTAGTGAAATATATCAACATTCTCCATACTGCGAGCGCCATCGAAGACTGTACTTCAAAACCAAAATCCATGTCATATCGCACAATCGGCATTATTTGCCGGTAAATGTGTTCTGTAATGAAAATTGTGTCCCATCCGATTTGCTTACAAAAATTGGCGTGAAATCCTAGGGATAATGGTGATATCTGATTTCTTTTTTGATTGTTTGAATGTAAAAATTTGCAAATTCATGGTATATTTTAACTGTTATGTTTTTTGTTAACCAATTTAGAGTAATGGTTTTGTTAACTTTCATCGAATGCTTTTATAATGTCATCAATTTTCTTGATAAGGTAATTCTCGAATAATTTTGTTTTTTCATGTTTTCACCTGTAGAACGGCAGATGGTCGGTCCGAATGGCCGAGATCGCTAAAGCAGTAGTAGCGAGCTCGGACCGAAGGATCGCGGGTTCATGTCCCGCCTCGGACATGGTTGTATTGTGTTCGTCCTTTCACTTCCTATCGTAATCATCATACCGTGCCATCCTCATAGTTATCATACCGTTTCACGCTATAGCGGGCGCTAATGACCTAGAAGTTGATGCGACCATAAATATCAAAAAAAGGCAGTTTTTGAATTTGGATAAAATTGTGCTAACTTCTTGGAAATGTTTTTGTGATCATTTTTTCTCAGAGAAGAGGTTGCTAAGGTAGTAGTGTTGTGGCGATATCGGATTGGAGGATCGCGGGTTCGAATCCCGTCTCGGGCATGGTTGTACTTGTGATTGTCCCTTCACCCTTCATCATCATCTTATCATATCATTAAAGAAGGATTAATAATTCCCTTCGCGAGCAGGAGGCCCTTGCCCTTATTGGGACGAGCTGTTGGCTAATATAAATAAATTCAGAAGTTCCAACAATCGTAGGAGTGGCAAGTCAGAATTACATAGTCATGTGCCTCAAGACGAACCACTTTTGATTTATTTATTTACGTCAAAACAGTTACAAACTGTGTATGATGTGCTATGGGGAGAAGTTAATTTGAAGTTACCTTTATGTCCAGAAGCAAAACAAGGGGCCATCTCAGCATTTGCTCGAGGATCAGGAAAACTGGACGAAAACCTGATCGAGATGGTGGTCATTGAGCCAGAAGCTGACGTACAATACTTGTTACAGGTTCTTTACAATTATACAATCCAAATGATATATAATACATGAATTAACTTGCCAATGGTACTTGCTGAGTAAACTTACCTGTTGAGTTGCTCTTGTGGATTCTGGTTATTATATTGATAATAATATTAAAACTAATGTTTTGAAAGTAATATCATCTAAAAAGTGGGCTTATGGCACAAAGCTTATGGAGTAAAAGTGTCCTTATGACAAGACGAAATAAAATAGCATTTATTTTATTTTATTTTATTTTATTTCCAAGCATTCAGTTGTGCACCCAAAGTAAGTGATTCATGGAGCTTCTGAACCATACCCCAAAGCCTATTCAAAATTAATTTCTACTCATTTTCCAATGAATGTTCCCATCCTTGTCATTTAATTACCCAATATTAAATTTAAATACAAGGTGTACAACTTTGCTTCCGCCGTTTTTCAATAGTTGGCTACAGTGGTAATAAACGGTCGCGATAAACAGATCGAAGGACGTGCAGCAGTTAGCTGTGGAGGCTTCGGCAACATAACCCCAATTCAAACATTCAGTGGATTGGGTGTGCAAACGTAACGTTGTTTCGCGATTGAAATGTCAGTGTACGAGGCCGAAATTTCTCGTCATTTGCGGGAGGTCTGCTTTTTTGTTTCAATATGAAGAAAACTGGCGGGCTGAGTCTTCATCGAATCGCTCTCCAGTACTTATGGTGAGGACTGATTAGTGGCAGAAGAACGTGTCGCGAGTGGTTTTCAACGCTTCAGGAATGGTGACTTAACGTGGAAGACCGCGCATAGTGGCGGAGGAGGGAAGTTTTTGAGGATTGCAGAATTGGAGGCATTGCTGAGTGAAGACTCGCGTCAAACTCAAGAAGAAGATGGCACGATCACTTGGGGTGACCAGCAAGCCATTTCAAAACGTCTCAAAGCATGGGTATGATCAGAAAGAAGGGAACATGTCCCATTATTAGTGGAAACCGAGAGACATTGAAAGGCGTTTGTGTGTTTGTGAAACAGTTGCTTCAGAGGCAAAACTGAAGGGTTTCTGCATCGTGTTTGTGACCGGGGACGAAAATGGGTTCATTACGATAACCCTTAAAACGGAAAAAATCATGGGGGTATCCCGGCCATGCTTCCACGTCACACACGCCAAACCGATAATTCATGGGTCCAAGATCATGCCTCTGCATTGGTGAGACAGCTCGTGCGTCGTGTAACCATGAGCTTTTAAAACCAAGTTGAAACAATCAGCAGGTGATCGATATCGAACGCAATTAATGCGTATTGAGCCGAGCATTGAAAAGACAAACGCCCGGCAATATCAGCGAGAGGCCACGATAAAGGTGATTTTTGCTGCATGACATGCTAGCGCCCACGTTGCAGAGTGGTCAAACAAACGTACCTTGGAAACGTTCGAAATGGGAGTCCTACCAGCCCCATCCCCATATCGCTTTTCTCACAATGCAACCTACACTCTTCTTCCTCCGTACGTTGCCCCCGTCCCAACTTTCCTCGATGTATCACTTGTTCCGCATTTCTGAATCGGCCGTCGACGACCGCGTGCTGAGCAGTGAAGCAAGCAGCTTCCGATCTTTTGAAGTGCCCAAAAAGTGGATTGATTCGTGGATCGCCTCCAAGATGAACAATTTTTTCGACGCGGCCATTTCGCAAGCCACTGCCGGAAAGATGGGAAAAGTTGTGGCAGCGATGGGACATTACTTTGAATAAATTATCCTGTGTAAGCATTTTGTTCAATAAAGGGTCATATTTTTGAGAAAAAAACGGCGGAAGCAAAGTTGTATACTATAAATAAAGCAATAATTCGCTGTAAATGAAAAAGTCTTCATAAGAAAACATCAAATGGAGTGAACCCTTTATAGGCCCTTCCTCTTCTAGAAAATGTTGATGGCACCATCGTCAGCTTTTAACCATTTTTCACGTTTATTACTATTCCATTTTTTATTAATTTTAAATTGCATTTAATTTAAATTAGCCACGTTCTTATGACGTCTTTACAACTATACTTTTATTTCATCTATAGAAAGGAAAGTCTGAATTTTCCAGCCTCTTTTCAGTCCAAGCATCGATACGCGCTATCATTTCGGGTGACAAGTCCTTTTTCCATCCTCCAGCCTCTCCTTTTCTCATAAACGAATTTTTAATTTTATATTCTTCGTGGATTGGTTTCAAAATATTGTTGTAATTCACTGAAGAATTTTCTTTCATCTTCTTGAAACTTAGGTGCTCTTCCAATTCTGATATCTGTGCTTCCGTCAAAGTCTTGCCGAGAAATTTGGCAGTCTTACGTATGACTCCGGCTAAGTCCTACAATGCAGATATTTCTGTATGAAGTCTTTACTATGCTACGTGATATGTGAATTAATAACCAAATTACTCACAGCTTTCATTTCTTCATAAGTATTAAATAGCACGTATGGCTCCTTCAGATTCCAGAAGTCCAAAACATGTTTCCAATATGGGCCATACAATGCTGTAACAAGGAATAAAATGTTAGAGGAAAACTAAGTAATTTGAACTGACGTGATCGCAAGCATAATTTTGCTACTCAAGGTAACATTATTTTCAATTTCTTTGTCATTGAATATCTAATTAAATTACGCCACTTGGCAGATTAATAAAATTTAGTGATTCATCGCTTAATAGTCTTGTGTAAACGAATACTAATATTGTCAAAATAAGATAAAATAATAATTTACTAAAATTTATTTAATATCAGATTACGCACATAGGGTATCGAGGTTGCTTTGTGATATAATTAGCCTCCAGAAATATTGTTTCTGGAACTGAAACAAAAATTTAACTAGATCCAAAGTCCGATTAAGTGTTCATGAAATTCATTGTTTTTGATCTTTCTTTCTGACCTACAATTTTGAGTGGAAGCAATGAGAGAGGCTAAATACATTTTCATAAATAATAATTGACAAAAAATTGGAACTAAGAGAACAATACCAGATGAGTTAGCACAGTCAGCAGTCCCGCTCTCTGAAACTGCTCTGATTGGGAGGTCCTAAGATTCTAGTCTGGACGGTGGCGGATATTCGACCTTAACTACTTAGCTCGGCCACACTGTTAAGGAGAATTCTTGCGACCGCCTGCTCTGATCGGTAGTTTTCCGTTGTTTCTCCGATCAATATCAGACGAATGCCGGAGCAATACGCTAACAAACGAGCAACGAACTGCGCGTGATCTCTCCTTCCTCACCTTTATCCAAGCTCTTTCTACATCTTACACTGAGAGTCACTGCCATACATATTGAGAGACCTCTCGAGAGCTTCGCCCTTGTTCCGGGTGGGTCTGTGCCCTGCTGCGAGAGATATACGTTTCGTGCGAGCCAATATGAAGGTCGACGCTACATCTTACCATCCAGTAGTACTGACACCTCACTGCCACTTCTCGGAACATAACGCTTACTACATATTCGGGACTAATAACCATAGCAATTGACCTGACAGAAAACATCACTTGAAATGGTTTATTATTTATACTTCCACTAATTATTTATTTATTTTATTCTGCCTCAGGTTGGGTAGCCATTTGAGATGGTTTACGATTTTACTAATTTAATTTGACTATTTATGCGGCCCGATTAATATTACATTTATTACAATATCAATAATTTTTGCTATATCAAGCATTACATTGACTTTACAAATCTAGGTTCGACAATGATTTAGCTTTTTATCTACTACTATATGTTGACACTTCTAAAATGTCGTAACATTAAGCATCATGAATTGTGCAATGTACACTTCCAAAATGTTTCTAATTTCATGAATACTGTTAAGATATTTAGTTACTAATTTTATTTATCTGCATGGTGAATTAAACTATCAAGATAAATTGACCTTCCCTTACTCAAATTTAAAGGAAAAAATATCTCCATAAACGTCATCATCAAGCATCCTAGCAGCTCTAAATGTCCAATAGAGTATCACTAACTAATTCTTGTACAAATCAAAACAAATTTCTCTACAGGGATAAGCTTTGGGCGCACTGGCTCAGTTAACCTCCACGATAAGATAACCTAACACTTACCTATTTTCATGGTTTATTGATTGGAACGTAGTACTATGCGGTACGCTTGCCACGAAGTAGGCTTTGGCGCACTGATTTCAAAATATTCGGCATACACATTCATTATTCGTACGCCGAATATTCACTTTCTGTGCTATTTACATAAATATACAATATCTTAAAGATTGACTTCTGCCTCCGACCTATCTTTATCTTAAAGATTGCCTCCTTAGTGTGCCAAAGCACTGGTGGTACCAGACCTAATATTCACTTAAAAGAGTTACTTGAAAGTAAACATGCAGACAAGCATGCTCTATTGCAGGAACACCAAAAAATCTTTGTGATAACCTTTGGTAATCGGCTTATTACATTTTATAGATCTGATCGAAATTCTCTCTGATACTGATATTGATACTGATTAATGTTGTATCGTTATGTAAGGAAGAAATATAATAAAACCTCTGATTTATTTTATCTTGAAACCGTCTTTCTAACATCTTTTGCGCACTACTCATAACACAAACATTTTCTAAGGTACGTTCACAAGGATTTTTAAGAATCCTACTCGTAGCGCGGTGAAGAATAATTAGGGGCGGATTTAAATGACCAAAAACATCGCAGAAAATCATCACTAAAATGCACTTAAAATGTTTTTAAAATGCTTTAAAAGCAAAAGAAAAATGTGGTCAACACCAAGTCAGGTGAACAACTAATGCTGTTTGCTATATATTACTGATGTAATCGAGGATTCTTCCTTTCGTTCAAGTGAACTCACTTGCAAACTTTTGGTTTGGACTGTTATTTACCAGAAAATTTCTGACTTTAGTTATCTCGAAATCCGCCGAAAGGGCATTAGCGCTGTGGCGTCACAGGAACCTTACATTACACGTTTTGAGCAAAGAAATAGAATAAGCTAGTGTGAAATCTGTGGAAAATATTTGTTGCATATCGTAAGTGTTACAGATGATGAAAAAGATAAAAAATGACATCTTACTAGTTCTAAAGACAAATATAAGTAAAATAGCATTTAATTAAAATCCGCTCCCTAATAATAATATATTGAACAAAAATTTTCAATGTCGTGTGATTTCAATTTGAACCAAGGATAGACTTCGGTTGTTTTGAATGCTATATCGGAATTCATCTTCTCTTAAAACAGAAACTTTGGATTAAGGGACAACTGAGTAAGTAGTTTAAAAAGGGCTTACCAACATCGTCTAAGAATGCATCAGCAAATGTTTCAAATGAGCCTGAATAAACTGTCCAGCTTCTATGATGGTGAAAATAAGAAAGCACCACATCCTTCGGATTTCTCGCAACATAGACTACCTAAAACATAAAAACACAAGTATATTTATTGAAGAAAAACTCAGTGAAATTGCATCGAATGGTATTTTGCTTTTGTTTTTCCGATCTCTGATTAAAATAAATTTTACAAATTTAAAATTTCTTGTACAAGTTAAGCCAACGTCATTATATATAATGTAAAATTTCAATGGAATTGTTTTTAATTAATAAGTTTATGATTCCTTCGAAAAAATGGCCATATTTACTCTCACTGCTGGATATGAATAATTAAAAACTCACATTTCTTGAAAATTAAATAGAAAAGCACTTTTTGTTGTCTGAATATTTATGTGAAAAATGATGAAACAATATTTAAGAATTTTAATGAACGTGCATATTTATCTTTAATTTGTTATCAGTGCTTACATCATTCACCATTTGAAATAAAATTTCCTTTAAAAGTAATGGGGATTTTCTGTAAGAATATTCATTTATATCTAAGAAATATCTTTTAAATGTCTGTTAAGTTTTCTGTATCAATTTTTGTTTATATGTTTTACTTGTGCCAACATTTTAAATGTTTACATCTTATATACTGAACATCTATTCAGTTCGTGTTTTCAAAAATTTATGCAATTTCAGAAATGACTCCTCAAATACAGGAGAGTCTTGCGCTTGTCATAAAGCATTAATAATTCTTATGTGCCAGTATTATAAATAGAAGCAAAATATCAAAATATTTTTAATGTTGTTAACACAAGGTTTAATACAATCAATTGGATTGACGTCAGATAAAATGGCGATTCACCTTTGGTTTTTTGGTCCAGATTTGTCGCGGTAATAGTTCTACAGGAAGGTGAGATTTTATGCAGCGAGTCTTCGTGTCCTTATTGAGAATATCGATCCAGTCGACAGTAGTTTCCAATGGTAATTGAAAGCTTGCAAATCTGGAATACGTAATTATACATTGTTAATTGGATTGTATTTGTTGGAAAATAACATTTTCTGTGTTGTGGAGCTGCGTGTATAGCTGTGGTCTGGAGGTGGATAACTTATGAATTCAGCTGTCAAACACTTTCCTTTAGATACCTCGAAGGGCCAGCATCTTTTTTGGGATGAAACATACAAATCCCTTCCTGAAATTGGGTAATTACGGGAAATATTGCCATTAGCAAGGATATCAGTAAGTACAGATAAATTCAAGACGTATAAACGAAATAAAATGAGTGAAAATAATGCAATGAGAAACGGAGGAAAAAATCCTAGAATAAATTTAATGTCAGTCAGCAGCATGTGGATACCGTCACAGATGGAGTATTTCAGAGGCTGGGACCTGTAGGTGCACGTTCTGATATTACTCGCGAAACTTTTCTTGAACGATGACCTAGCTTAACTCTCTCTGGCATAATAAACGGTTGAAGGAAAAGAGCAGCGCTTACTGATGATAACATTCCAAACACATCTTCACCGGCGCGAAATGGAAACAACTTTCTTTTGAAGACGAGAACTTCTGTCCGTTTGTTTCTCCAAAATATCGAAAGAAATGATCGAAGCAGATAAATTATATCACAAAAGATACCTCGAACTCTTCAGAAAGTTAGAACGCAAATTATTAAGGACGTTGCGAAGGCATGACTGATTCTCCAGAGATTGGCATTGCTTTATAAAGTCTAGTGTCCGTTACTAGTACCCCCACTTTCCCCGCATTTATTCAATCCATCGTTCAAGAAAAGTTGCGCGAGTATACATAGACATTGCCAGAAGACATTGCGAAATACATAGACGGCGCCAGAAGTATCTCCCCAAGAGCATAGCGATGCGCTGCGAGCACGATGCACGAATGACTTAGCGTCGCGTAGAGTGCCAGGAAGTGTGCCTTCTCGCTAGACTATAACATGGCGATGTGTAACTGCCTATGTCTGTTGATAGCTTCGCAACAGAGGTGTAAGAAATCAAGAACTAATTGTTTCAATGTCAATATGAGCGGCATTGTAATTGAGTGCCTTGCTAACAATTATCAGCACATACACTGATCGTATTGTACATTGAACACAATATTTTGTTTAAAGATACTACATTAAAATGTATTGTTTCGTTTATGAATACCATAAAATTAAATATTTTTCATTTTTCTCAAAAGTATCAGCTTGAAATGGGCATATTAATTTAAAGTGCATGCTTAAGTCGCAGATTTAAAGAATTATCCAAGTTTCGGTAAAACATTGCTCTTACTCTATGAAAGGAAATCTTTTCACGATGTCTGTCTGTTTGGCCCCTTCGTAGTCCAAGTTGTTCACCAGAAGCCATACCATTTCCTGCGTCCAGGTAGTACCTGAAATCATTATTTATTGCTCATCAGAAGCTGCCATTTGATTAATCCCTATGTAAACAATTAGTCTTACAATACGTGTAGCGATTGTTTGAAAGCAATAAAGTGTTGTAATAATTATAGCAGAGTAATTCAAACTTTCAAGCCCGGAACTTCACTGAAAAAAATGTTGATCATCTAAAAAGCGTGTTCTGCTACTCCCGTGTTTAATTTCCTTAAATTTGAAAGCCTTTGAATTGAATTTACGATTTAAGATAGCTGCAAATGTAATATTTAGTTAGAAATTATTTTCTAAATGATTCTTGAATATTGTTTTATTTATTTAACAGTACGTAAGATCAAATTTACTTCAATTATTAAAATGTAGAGTTGTAAAGAATTACAATATTTTTTTTATTTAACGAGCCACAACCCGTCAAAAATGAGAGGAAGAAATCAACACCCATTTAATAATAAATCATTAATAATAAAACAATTAATATCTTTAAAACTAAATTTAAGTTTTTTTCACTTCAAAATGTATTTTATTTTAACTAATAGGTTCTCAAACTGTAATCCTTGGACCTTTAAGGGACTGTTATTTTTAGAAGAGAGCAATTTTATAGAGATCTTGAAGCGGCCACCAGGTGAAATTTGTGCTATTTGCGATTGCTCTCCCGTTCTATGAAGGAATGGAATTTAGTTCCTCTGGTGTTGGTTACAGTTTTTAGGCTCACTGCATTCTTGGAATCCAACATTGTGTTGAAGATTACCTTCACTTGTTCCCACTTGATCCCGACATTTTCTTTACTCTTTGCTCCTGAGCCTTTCTTTAATCAATAACTTTTACAGCCACAAATCCTTAGCGCGCGAGGCGTCGCAGCCTGAGATTAATGGCATTTATTGCTTCTGCCCAAAGTGGAAAGCAATGAGTAGGCTCTTGCACATTGCATCCAACTTCAGCCCACCTTCTGCTCATTAGCTTCAGGCACCAGTTTGCGTCACAATAATAGAAGGAAGTTTAAATGTGAAAATTTTGACATTTTTTTGTTATTTAAGGTCGCATCAACTTCAAGGTCATTAGCGAGCACTATTGCGTGTAACGGTATGGTAACTATGAGGATGACACAATAAGATGATGATAGGGGGTGAAAGGTCAAACACAAGACAACCATGCCCGAGGCGTAACTCGAACCCGCGGTCCTTCGGTCCGAGTTCACTACGACACTACTGCCTTGGCCATCTCGGCCATCCGGACCGGCCATCTGCCGTTCTAAAGGTGAAAACATGAGAAAACAAAATTATGTGTGAATTATCTTATCAAGAAAATTGATCACACTCTAAAAGCATTCGATGAAAGTTAACAAAGCCATTACTCTAAATTGGCTAACAAAAAACAACAGTTAAAATATACCATGAATTTGCAGAAGATTTATAATTTCACCTTGTTGCAAGTAATTAAAACATATATATGAGGCACTTAAAAACATTCTATCTTTTATTACAATTACAATTTCAACGTGTTATTTTTGGTTTTGTCACCGTTAAAAATTGTCATTTTATGCTACGTTTTAAACGTTCCTCAACACTTTTCCCTCTCCATGCAACGGCGGCCAGCGCCTGGTCCAGCTTTTCAAAAGTGCCTGTGTTGTGCTCACGTCGTTCGTGACGCAAACTGGTGCAGCACAGAAGGAGCAAACATCGGTGCCCTGGAGGAGCCCACCCATCTCTTTCTACCTTGCTTCTGCCTACGCCATCTCGATCTCGATCTCGTTGCCTGTGCAAACGCGCGGCGCCGACGTTTTGCAAAATTTACAAAAGCGATTGCCATGCCTTCTAACCTCATTCCAATTGCGAAACTGAATTGCGCGCCGCGAAAAGTGACGAATTGTACTGCAAGATGTCGTTCCAATAGCACCACATTTTTTGGCGACTCGGTCGGTTTTTAATTTTTCATTGCTTGTGAAGACGTTTCACCCGAAAAATACTTCAAATACTTCATGTTCAATACTTCATGTTCTTTATATTCTTAAACCACAAGTAATATTTAAAAAATCTCAGGTTTCTACCTTTCTCTACTTAAACAAAGTGATCGATACAATCGTGGGATTGCAGAAAATCGTGTAATTTTTTAAACTTATACTTATGTCTTCATAATAATACGTTGTATTGTATAAACTATTTAAATAAATTACAATATATCATTTTTAAAACTGTGTAAAAATAAATAATAGTTATTTGTGATATAAGCATCTGATACAATACAAGATTGTAAAATTGCCCAACGAGGCCGTTAGGTTCGAGGAGAACAATTCAAATACACTTAGTATATACTTTTCACATGAGTGAATATAGTTCTGATTTGGAAACAAATATAGCAGCAAATTCTGCTATAGAAACATTGTTATCCAACAAATCAAGAAAGAAATATGAGCGGAAGTATTTAATTTTTAAATATTGGTGTGAAAAAACACGTTAATTCCATATCGGAAGAAGTTTTGATTGCTTTCTCCTCAAGTCAGAGTCAAGTCAGAGAAGGAAAAACCAAGATTATCCGCTCACGTTTTCTTGGGTCATTTTGCTGGATGCGAAGGGAGTAGGGGAGTAGTTATTTGACGACAGGACTAATATATCAAACCTTTCACTCGTTTTTCGATGTAAAGTAATTTCTATTATACGGGAGCGAACATATCTTCTAATGATATTTTGTGAATAACGCTCGTAGATAACATTTATTCTTCATAAAACTTATGTTAGAAAAGGAATGGGGATAGGTAGTTCAGGGCTCAATAGAAAATGCTGGTGTCATAGACTTTGGATCCACTTCTCTATGTTAAAGAGCACAATATCACTTAATGACAATATTGATATCGGTAGGTTTATTAGCGTTTTTAAAGAGGAAAAATGAAGGATTCAAGACAAAGTCCAAAATATTGTGAACGAGTGGCAAACTTTATTACTTCACTGTCCTAGTGTCGTAATGAAGTACATTACCACACCAGGTCGGTAAAGTGCATTACGAAAATAATTTTAATGGCATAATATTTTATTTTACCTAATCAAAGCAAATAAATTATATTACCCTTCTCGTTCACTGTTCTTACCACATTTAGGGTAGGAAATAACCCACACGTCGTCCTCTCTCACTTCGAAGTCCAATATTCTTTTCGCGTCATTTATGTAGTACTCTGGCAACACGCAATCAGAAGGATTTATAACAGCAAAAGGGTGGTTATAAATGATTTGACACGCAGCCGCCAATTTTTGGAAAGCTGGATTCTCAATGCTCTTAAGTGATAGCGACATTCTCAGCAGTTTCCACCTAAAAAAATAAAAAAGATATAGTAAAGAGGACTTAATTAACGTAGCGTTAAAAGCTGTGGGCACAAGAAATAAAACTTTCAACATAAAAGGATTATGACATTGGGATGATAAAATTAAAGAATTATTTGCAAACAAGGAAGATGCCTACCTAAAGATAAAAAAATCCTCGGACCTCCAAGACCTGAAAATATACTATAAACAAAATTCGGCTTTAGAAGAGAAGAAAGTAGACAAATAAAATAGTACACTATGAAACGATGTAATTTATACCCATTACATCGAGTTTCATACGGTATTTTTCTAAGACTTTTAGTCACTTTTATGAGTTAAACTTTTACTTTGAATCGTCTTGTGGCATTTGACATGAAGGATTCAGCCAAGGCCTCCTAGCAGACAGCTCCCTAACCCTTGCCGCACGTGGCTTTGGTTACCAGTCCACTACCAGGGAGTACTGCGCTAGTCTAATAAGATCAAAGTGAAATTACGATCCACTTTATTTTGAATAATATTTCACAAAAAATACTAGTAAGAAAAGAAAAGAAAACTGACAAGCATAATATATTATTAAGTGCAATTTTAATGCACACTGTCGAGCGAAATAATCTAGTAGAACGATTCTCAATGATTAATTGGTATGTGATTGGTTAAGAACCCGTATCATAATGAAATCTGTATAGTAATGAGAATCATTGTGCAAGTGGTGTCAGTCATCAAATGACAAAAGTATACAATGGAATTATAGAAAAACAACTATTAACAAAAAGTTAATTAATTTTTTGTAAAATAGGTAAAATAGGTCAAGCATAATATAATAATAAATTTAATTTTAATGTACACAATCGAATGAACCATGTTCTAGATAGATTCTCAATGATTCATTATCAGTACTTTCCGGACGCGTCAATTGATAAGGTCATTTGCCCCGTAAGTGTAGAGGATGTTTCTCCTTTCTGAAGTGGCCTTTCCCCGCTAGATGGTGACCTACGGTCGGCTAGAGTGATTTTCCCTTACCAGGCAACTCCCACCAGCTCGACTCAGCCCCAGTCAGGACAAGCTCTATGCTCCCTATGTAAGTACGGGTGTGTGTAAGTAAGAGGTAAGGATGGCACAAGGAAGGGAAAAAAAGATCTCTCGCGAACCATTCGTTAAGGTATTGCTCCGGCATTCACCTGGTATTGGCAGGAATATTACCGATCAGAGCAGCCAGCCGCTAGAATTCGCCTTCGACAGACAACGACTGAGCTTGATCTAGCTATCTAGTTTGTGTTGGAAATCTTGCCACCGTCGGGACTCGATCCTTGGACCTCCCGATCAGAGGATCTGCACTTATATCGGTTGATGCCCTGAATCACCTGTCCTAGTTTTGTGAAATAATATTCACGTTTTATTTAAATGTGTATATTTTGAGCAATTTTCTAGAGAAATTTTGAGATATTGTGATAAAAAAAATACGTAAATAAGATTTTCTAAAAAACGGTACCACTTTTGACTTTTTTGGTTTATTAGAGAAAAATGTCTCTATAATATAAGTTCAATTTTTATACAAAACCTCTGATACTTCGAATATTACAAATGTTCTGTTTTTCTAGAAAGTTGTAGCAATGCCTTGTAACCTTTGTGAAAGTTTTATGTGGCTATTGTAAGGATTAATTTTAGGAATTAGCATATTCTCGGAATATGTGAGTTTTGTTCAGAACCAAACGTAAACTCAGTTGTGGGTATAAGCCTGGTCTATAACTTGCATCTAATATGAACTAGAGCAGAATATTCCTTCTTGCGTACTCCTCTCCGGGGATGACAAGTTAGACCGAACGCAGTCAGTATTATTGGCCTTACCATATTTGTAATATAAGAATAAAATAGTGTCCTTTACTCAGTGGCGTCTCCTAGCTAGTAGACATGGGAATGCGGTCATATTACACGTTGGACGCATAGTCCCTAATATTTAATGACCCCGTCATTCTACTCTGCTCCAAAGAAATTTAGTAGTTTATTAGAAGCCAATTAGATACCTTCTGAATTATCCTTGAAACCACAAATTTCTCATTGCACGCACATACATAAACAAAACAAGAAAACTAAAAAAATAACCATAAAAAGTAGGCCTAGATACCTAAATCTTGAACTCGAGATCTATTCGCCGCTGTTTTCTGGCATATACAGCGATCACGTCGTCTTGTATTGAGGGGTCGACCGAAGATCATTCAACAATAAATTTTGTTCTTAATCTCACACCTGCCAGTACAATGATCACTTTCATATATCTTACCACTAACATGATGCACACAATTCTTCAGTTTTGTGGTGATATTTATTGATTGCCCATCACTAATTAAAATCTTCTGTTTCGCAATAGGAGACAAAATTAAAAGGAATTCGAGGAATTCTTTCTATAGCCCAATGAAACGTTTCGTTATTGTTCTCTGGCACAAATAACTCATCCACTGTTATAAATGAACTGGATGATCTCACCATGTCGCGTCCTTTCATACCCAAAAACAAGCTTTCTTTCGCGTTACAATTTAGAATTCACGAGTCTCTTTAACGGATCACTAGTTAGATAATGTAGTGAAATTAATTCTTATTAAGTACGAAACAGCATTTACGCTACAACGCGACACACATGACGAATGAAATAACACCGCTCGCACTGTTTCCACTTCACGAACTATCCCTATCGTACTATTCCCTTAAATTAAGGGAGTTGCCTTGTTTTGTCAGACTTGCAAACCCACATTGTGTTACCCAGCTGTACTAATTCAGGTTAAAATGTACTTAGGTATAGTTGGGAGACTTGCATGAGTTAGGAAAGACGGTCGTGCCTTCTGCCTCCCGCTCCCCACTTCGGGGTTCACAATCATGGCACGTGACTTCTGGGATACCTTGTTGCCGAATTATGGCTACTTCAGAGGAAAGGGTATCGAAGGTTCTTGGGAGGGGATACCGAAACGCAAAAGAGAACTCAGAAGCCTGTGGTGTAAAAGGCAATGTCACATCCCCGGTAGTCGAAACCACACAGCCTGAACACAGCGCATGGACTCCATTACGAAAAAAAAACACGATACCCTTTCAACGCCTTCCTAAACATATTCTTCAACAATTGTGAACAGTAGATGCAGATTGTAGCTTCCTACTCCTTCATGAAGTTAGTTTTTACATTAGGAAATAAGAATAGTTGTACGACATACAATACATATGAAAAAGTGATTTAAACTGAACTATGTATCTCGGAATGAAAAATAAATATGTTAAAAAACAGCGCATGGCCGTGAGTTTAATGACCTTGCCAAAGGAGCGAGGTCGTTCCAGGGTATGTTTTTCGGCCCATCACATCCATCGAGGGAACAAACGCCTATTGGACAGCGCACGTAATGGCGGGAGAGAATAGAGAAACAGAGATATTTACGGCAGAAAGTGAAATACTTTACAGAAAAGATTTTTACGTGATAGAAAACTAGGGGATGTAACACATCACTCGCATACATTGCGTTTACGCCACTCCACTTACTGTTATTTCATGTAATCTTATTATTTATCATACAGGTAGTAATCACACTTATAATACAATGATTCTGAATCTTTCTTAAAAAATATTATGGGTATTATGAACTACAAGAGTTTTAATTACATTTGTTGGGAAATCCTAGGATGTTCTTAAACAATATTCCCGCTTTTAAATTTGAATACCATATTAGCATGCTTGTAATTTTCGAATTATACAGCAACAGATTCACTAGTATAATCTTTTCAACTGCCCCTATTTATGTTTTCTTCACTCCTTAAGAAAAACATTTCTGTCATTTTGTTATTTACATTACAGTTAATTTTTACGTGGTATAGGCTAGCGCAGATATCGTGTGATTAATGGAAGTACTAATCTCACGGAGATGTAAAACGCTAGCGTATTGCCGTCTGGTTATTTGAACAAGGTAATGAAACAGCGTATCTTATCTACATTGTTTGCTATTAACACATGGTATAGTGCAGGAGTTGCACGTTTTTCTTAACAACCTCGAACCGGCTTTCAGATTTTTACTTGTTCGTGTACGAGAGTATATACAGAGTACAGAGAAAGTTATGTAATGCGGCGGAAAATCAATTTCGAGATTTCAACGGAAATGCACGTTATAGAGTCCCATAATATCAAAAAAATAGTTGTTGTTTCTGTAAAACGTCCGGTCCGTCCGTCCGTCTGGTTGTCTCTCTGAGTTTGTGAACAACCCTAGCGCTTAAAATATACGTAGGATTTTTTCCAAACTGAATATACCCCTGTCGATCTGGCGTCACTCAAAGCTTTGCGATTTTGAAAAACAATCCTGAATTTTTCGGCATATTTTACATTAAACCGTTGGGGCATGTTCAAATTTTTTTAAAAACTGGTTCCAAATTTCGATATAATAACTTATATTTATATAATAATAGTATCATATTTATTTGATAAATGAGGGTACGTTCATCTGAAGAAAAGTTTGAGAAATGTGATAAAACTAATATAGACTTTATTCAAATTGAGATAAAACTGTTTCAATGTGTTTTTTATGATCAAACTGTTTTTAAAATTTCTTCCTAGAGATGGTTATTTGTATGGAATCTGAAAATGTATCAAATTAAAAATTGACATGAGATTTAAAAGATTGGATAGTGAACCTTTAAAATACTTATGTGTATTCAGGAAATTTAAAAACGAAAATGATAGATTGTAATAATTTTTTACAATTTGTAGGTGAATAATCTCCTTCACATGAAGTGACAAAGAAAATGAAGTAACAAAAGTACATTTACAACCTTTTAACTCATTACCCTCGAAAAGATTTTCTCAACCAGTAAAAACGTGGATATCTAAGAAGTTTTCTAATTGGATATTTGAGTGTTTTCCAATAAATCTTTGCACTTCCTCTTTTCAAATGTAACACTCGCTGCCGACTTGTTCTGCGATGATTTTTACCTTAAATTCTGCCATATCCCATGCAAACCGGAAATAGTGGCCACTACTACTGA